TATATTAAGACCTCCGGCGGCGACGAAAATTCATTAAGTGTTTCTCGTCGGAGACGATTCGCGAGTGCCAGTAGTCGTCTGTAGTACTGATCGGGTGAGCCCCACGGGCCTCGATTATTTTCCTCCAAGCGAGCCCCTCGGGCCTTGGATTCTCACCGAGCGAGCCTCCCTAGGCCTCGGTATCATCACCGAGCGAGCCTCCCTAGGCCTCGGTATCATCGCCGAGCGAGCCTCCTTAGGCCTCGGTATCATCGCCGAGCGAGCCTCCTTAGGCCTCGGTATCATCGCCGAGCGAGCCTCCCTAGGCCTCGGTAGCATCACCGAGTGAGCCCCTTGGGCCTCGGCATCTTCACTCGAGCGAGCTTCTGCAAGGCCTCGACCACTTCCTCGAGCGAGCTCCACGGGCCTCGACTTCTACCCAAGAGAGCTCCTGAGGGCCTTGGCACCCCGAAGAGATCCTGCCACGAGTCCGGCGACGAACCCGAGACGTGCCACCACCAGGACATCCACCAGGAAGCCCAGAGCGCGTCCCGCCTCTGCCACCGTCGCATCCCGGACCACCATCGGATCCACGACTGCTCCATAGGCCTAGACCTCCACCGATACTTGGACACAGTTACCTCCCGTGGAGACTACTGCCGATTGCAGGGAACCCAAGTCCACTGCAGTATTGCCACCGTCGACGCAGCCACACAGACAACCCCGCAGGGTTCGGCCGAATTCCAGATCGTACCTGTGGACGTGGCGCAACCATCCTCACCGAGAGGAACGCAAAGACCGGCAGGCCTAGACAGCCCCGAAGAAGACTCGCAACCGCTCTTCTCAGGGCGACACACACAAACCGCCCTTTTCAGGGCGACCAAAAGTATTTAACGAGAGAACACCTCTGATTCTCCGCGAGGAACACTACAAAATTGGTGACCCCGACGTGATCGTAAATACAATTATGCCGAACACGCAAGACCCACCTAACGTAACAACAACGGAGGCGCAAATACACCGAGTGGCTCTGAAAATACCACCATTCTGGTCGGACGAACCGGAACTATGGTTCGCGCAGCTGGAAAGCCAGTTCACACTGGGCGAAATCGTGCAAAATGGCACCAAGTATGCCTACGTATTATCACACGTAGAAACGAGACACGCGAAAGAAATCAAAGATTTGATTACTAACCCTCCGGTGCGAGACAAATATGAGAGCATCAAGAAGGCCATCATCCAACGCCTCTCAGTGTCACAAGAACAACAGATCCGACAATTACTAGAGACCGAAGAGATGGGCGATCGAAGACCATCGCAATTCCTGCGGCACCTACAAGCTTTGGCGAGCTCCGCCATTCCAGAACAATTGCTGAGGACGTTGTGGATGGGACGATTACCCGCACAGCTACAGGCTATCCTTGCCACACGCAACGGAGACAATCTCGACGAAGTCGCCGAACAAGCGGACAGGATCCACGAAGTGACATGTAGAGCAGTAGCGGTGGCCAGCATACAACCAGCTACCGCAAAACCCGCTGCTACCAAGACGACACTAGAGCAACAAGTAGAACTTTTAACTAAGCAGGTGGAAAACCTCCATAAACGCATGTCACGCTCCAAAAATAAGGAGGATAGCCGAGGGCGGTCAAGAAGCCGTTCAAGACAGGATCAACCTGAAGGTGGCGTGTGTTTCTATCACCACCGATACAAGGAAAAAGCACAAAAATGCACTCAACCGTGTAGCTTCAAGAAACAGGTGGAAAACTAGAGGGGCGGACGTTGTCAGCGGCGAACGATCCCAGCCCGAAACCGTGCCGCTTATTTGTCACGGACCGCCACACTAAAACGCGGTACCTCATCAACACTGGTTCAGATGTCAGTGTTTACCCTCACTCGATGACGCGAGGACAACGCTGGCTAAACACCAGGACTCTCTACGCGGCGAACGGATCCATTATCCCGACTTACGGGGATCAGGCATTACCCACCCCGGACATCACAGCAGAGACAGTCGGAAAGCAACTCTTCACAAATGGGATCGCCCGTTACGGCACCCCTTCACGAATGACCACGGATCAGGGACGGCAGTTCGAGTCCGACCTGTTCAAACGGTTAACACAAGTAACGGGATCAAGAAGGCAATCACGATGCTTCCACGGCCTTCCCAGCAAAAGAAGCAACCCTCATAGGTACAAAGAACTTAAAGACAACCAAGGGGGTCACGTGGCGACCCACGCCACATCAGGCGCGCGGGCACTACACGTCACGGCGCCGCTCCTGTGAGCGCCGACGACACGGCGCGCGGCGGTTGTACGGCGCGCCGCCGATAGGTGGACACAGCGCCGGCAGCATACTCGCATTCAGAATTCAGTGGCGATGGGTATATTAAGACCTCCGGCGGCGACGAAAATTCATTAAGTGTTTCTCGTCGGAGACGATTCGCGAGTGCCAGTAGTCGTCTGTAGTACTGATCGGGTGAGCCCCACGGGCCTCGATTATTTTCCTCCAAGCGAGCCCCTCGGGCCTTGGATTCTCACCGAGCGAGCCTCCCTAGGCCTCGGTATCATCACCGAGCGAGCCTCCCTAGGCCTCGGTATCATCGCCGAGCGAGCCTCCTTAGGCCTCGGTATCATCGCCGAGCGAGCCTCCTTAGGCCTCGGTATCATCGCCGAGCGAGCCTCCCTAGGCCTCGGTAGCATCACCGAGTGAGCCCCTTGGGCCTCGGCCATGGTGGAAGGATTACATGGTGTGCTCAATTGCCTGGGGGAATCGGGTAATGACGTCACTCGTGTCGAATTGTGTAAACAGAGTAGCCAACGTCTAGAAGTAAAACATTTTGGTGTTGTAA